ATACAACACATAAACTTGTTGTCCAAGGGCATGGCTTATGCAGTGATGCTTAGCTTTCTGATAATGGAAGGTGGAAATAGCACCTCAAATCATTTCAGATCCCCAGCATGGAAGCAAATGCTTCTCTGTTCTATCTCTTTTTAAATCCTGTACCCTCCTTTTATCCTGATGTTCCCCCTCCCCCAATTCTTTCCCAGTTGTAATGGTGCTTGTTCATTTGCTTGTTCAATAATTTAAATATATATACAATAAAATATTCATAGTAATAATGGTTTTAAAAAAGCTGTTAACAATTTATAGTGCAGGGCCACTATATCCAGCATCTCCTCTCTTGCTGAAGAGGAAAACAGACATTCTGTTTGTGTGAATGTGACATTCTCACAATAAGGACTGAGCCTTACACACACAGACACACAAACACACATTTTCGAAGGCACTTCTTTTCTGGCTGTATGGTTGCATCTTAACAAACCACTTTACAAAGTATATAGTTTACATTTCCAAAAATGGAAGGTGATCATCAATGGCGGGAGAGCATCTCAGGCCCAGGGGATATTATTGACCTCCAGAGCTTTCTGTTTGGCCCTCAAAACTCTCTCCAAGCTACACATCCTCTCCTCTGACCACAACCCACAGTGGACCTCGTGAGTTCTACAAAGACAGCACTTAGTCTGAGGAGGAACAGACTGATAGCCAGCTGTGCCCCCCCCCCCTGGACTGGATGTAAGTAAAAGGCATGCAAGTGGGGGCTGAGGTTAGTGAAGCAGGGCCTCATTTGACCTGTGCCCAAAGACCCCCTGCACTCCTGTACATGTTAAACCTTTCATGCTCCAAGAAAAACCCATCTACTACACAATGATCAGATTAGAGGATCATCTCACACCCCCTCACCCAAATTTATCCTAAGGGATAGAAATGGGGATTACTCTTAATGAAATTGATAACTCTTTAGTCATCCTGTAATGTCATAGGTGATCTTTGCTTTGCGTAAATAAGTTTTGGAATCTTTCTTTGGGACTGTAAGTAGCCGGTACTGGAACGAGCCAGTTTGTTTTGTTTCTTCTTCTTCTTCTTCTTCTTCTTCTTCTTCTTCTTCTTCTTCTTCTTCTTCTTCTCCTTCCTTCCTTCCTTCCTTCCTTCCTTCCTATCTGATTTCTCCTATCCTATCCAATTACTGCAGTAATCTTTGTAATTCTATTATGGTTCAAAATATTTATTTGAATATGTTGGGGAAAGGACTGCTGCTCAGTGCATCAGCATCTGCTTTGTGTTCAGAAGGTCCCAGGTCCAATCTCCAGGTAAGTGTGGGAGGGAAACTCTGAAGAGCTGCTACCTGCCAACAGCCTGACTCAGTAGAAAGCAGCTTCCTATATTCCTCTGCTTTATTTATTGATGAAGCTCAGCCTGGCATCTTGCAGTGAAGGACAAGTAACCATTTCAAACAAGCAAGAAAACAGCTCTGGCGATTTGAACAACTTGCTCAGTTTGGCTATTTGTTCCTCTCTTCCCCATCTCCCCTCCCACTCCCCTGTTCATTCATACTTTACCCAGAAGATGTAGAACACCTGGTACAGCTTGAAAGCCACCCAGAGCAACTATGTCCCTTGGCTTTGGGACTCAACTGACCAACCCATGGCAAGGAAGAGAAAGTGGCCTTGAGCCAACAATTTTCATGTAACCAAGATACCGCTGCCTATTAGCTAATATGCAACAGAAAGAGGCAACAACTGCACTTGGCTTATTTATCACTACAGACCTGGGAGGCAGAGTGTGGGTGGGTGCAAGTGGACAGGCAGGAGGGCACGTCTATATTGATTGCTTGTTATGCAACAGATATATTCATTATGTCTTCGTCCCACTAACTTTTTAATAAGCTAAAAATAGAACAAGAGAGATGAGAAAATTACAGCAACTTGAAGAAATGCAAGGGCTGGCCCAGCTCACAGTAATGCCATATGCAGGGAACACTATTTTCAAAATGCATAACTCTCTCTCTCTCTCTCTCTCTCTCTCTCTCTCACACACACACACACACACACACACACACCAGCTTAAAGTGGTGCAGTCTAGGACAAATGCAAGATTTTTTTCACCCAACTCCACTGCATCAGTAATCTGTACAGCCTGCCTTTGAGATCAGCCCCTGAGGCCCTGTTCTTGGGTCCATCAATAAAAGCTGATATACCAGAGATGATATACCCTCCAAATATTAGTGGACTACAATTCCCATCATTGCTGACCACTGAACCATGCTGGGTAGGGCTGGTGGGAGCTGGAGTCCAACTATAACTGGAGGACCACAAGTTCCCCATCACTGTGACAGACAGACTGATGGACATTCGGGACAGGGCCTTTTCGATGGTGGCTCCACATCTTCTCCCTCCCCAGGAGGTACATCCTGCCTCATAATGGGGAGGGAAGGGGGAGCATACATGTAATAAATTTAATGAACAATAAATAAATGTTTTGTATGTTTTAAGTTTCTTCTCGTGAACCATATTGTGAAGGCACTGTGACCTAAAAGGCAGGTCAGAAAATCAAAGAAGCTTTTCAAAGATGAAAAAAGGAGCATGCTTATGAAAGGATCACTTTAAGAGCTCCCACCTTCTTCACTATGCCACATTGCTGAATGGTCTTCATCAACTACTTGGTGCCATATTAATGGAATTGCAGAGTTGGGAAGGAGGACTTGCAGGCCAGGAGGGTGGGAGAATTTGTGGTCCTCCATAAGTTGCCGGATTCCACCTCTCATCAGCCCCAGCCAGCATAGCCCATTACCAGGATGATTGGAGTTGTAGTCCAGCAAGATCTGGAAAGCCACAGTTTCTCCATCCTCGCTGAAGGCTACCTACTCAGACCCATTCAACAATTCAGGAAATTGGTATCCCAAACAGATGGCTGCCTAGCTTCTACTTGAAGACCTCCAGCAAGGGAGAGCACTTACTTCCCCTCTAGATAGTTGGCTCTATTGCTGACCTACTGTTTGACCAAAGAATTTTCTCCGAATGCTCAACCAATTTCTACTCTTCTGTAAATTAAGCACATCAGATCTCTGGTTCAACCCTCTGAGACAGTAGAGAGCCAGACTTCACACTCTTCTATATGACAGTCCTTTGAGGCAGTCATCATGTCCCTTCTCAGTCTTGCCCTATGTAGGCTAAACTTACCATGTTGACATACCGCTTGCAAACTGGCATTTGATCAAGTGGACTTCTTCACTAACTAATATCAGGGAGTAATTTCCACTAATTCTCACCACCACCACCGTGTAAACAATCTGCTCCAGATGTCTGGGAGACCCTTCAGGACAGCATGGAAGTGGGCACCAGAGCAGGGACAGGATTCAGAGAAAGTCACCTCTCTTCCTGGTCTGTTAGTGGAGGCGTCCACTGGAGCACAAGCATTGGATGCAAAGAATTTGTTTTCCGTACCACTTACTCTGCAATAGTCCTGTCTTTTCCACTAATTTAAAAGCCAGGACTTTGATAGGCTGAATACTGCATGGTGCCCAGATGTTTATGTACATGCATTTACCTACATATGCACTAGAGACAAAATGCATCTTCAATGGGCTCTTAAGTTCTACTCTACTCTGGTGGGCAATATTTTTAGCTGAGTCGTTGATGCTGTTTTACTGCTGCTTGTTTTAATGTGCTACTTCAAACACAAATGCTGTAATATATCTTTATAAATCTGCAAGCCACCTTGAATTTGATATTATATTAGAAAAGATGAGATATAGAAGCCCACTAAATGCAAACATACATACTTAATCTACCCACCCATGCAGAGATTTAACTTCTACAGAATGTAAGAGCCCTGCTGGATCAAGCCAAAGGCCCGTCTAGTCTAACAACCCATTATGGCCAACCAGATGCCTACAGGAAGCATGCAAGTGAATTAGCTTGGACCAATATTTATTCTCCATCCCCAGTTGACAGCCACTTGTCTAATTCCACATGGAATATTTTTAAGTCTTCATGAAAATTCACCAGCATTTTACAGCAAATCCCTTCTAATACATACATTTTTGCAAATGATTTCCCTTAAAATAATATTTTTGTATGTTATTATTGCTAATATTGCTAATATATATAACTATGCACACTTTATGGGACGCAGGTGGTGCTGTGGGTTAAACCACAGAGCCTAGGACTTGCCGATCAGAAGGTCGGCGGTTCGAATCCCCGCGACGGGGTGATCTCCTGTTGCTCGGTCCCTGCTCCTGCCAACCTAGCAGTTCAAAAGCACGTCAAAGTGCAAGTAGATAAATAGGTACCACTCCGGCGGGAAGGTAAACGGCAGTTCCGTGTGCTGCTCTGGTTCGCCAGAAGCGGCTTAGTCATGCTGGCCACATGACCCGGAAGCTGTACGCTGGCTCCCTCGGCAAGATGAGCGCTGCAACCCCAGAGTCAGCCACGACTGGACCTAATGGTCAGGGGTCCCTTTACCTTTATGCACACTTTACCCTAGTTTGTGCAATTTTGTAGGCATTATACAGCTAGATAACTGTTTTTCAAAGTTCAGAGAGGTGCAGATTTTGAAGGATGGGTGCATTTTAGTTTGCGCATTATGGCAGAAAGTGTGAATCATGCAGGTTCAGCTTTCAGTGCAATCTGAACTGAATCCCTCCCCCATCCCTAAACATAACTAAGATTTGGGGTTGTGCTTTATCCTGGACCTGGGCCTTTGGTTTCATCCAGAGCTCAAGAGTGAAATACAATACCTCCCATGCACCTGTCCATCTGCTTTGCTTGCTTCCATTGTCAACAATTGTAATCAAGTTTGCAATTAAGAGAGATCATTCTCAAACATTTTCATATCATTTAATCACACTAATCTAATTAGACAGATGACTAAACCGAATCTCTGGAACTTCATCTCAAAACAGTTATAACTGGCTAGTGCCCAAAGACATTGATGAGCCAGCCATGGGGAATGAATTTAAATACACTAAATACATTAGAGGTTCAGATTATTCCCGCCTCCCATTATTCTCTGCAAATGTCCATAGCTTTGTGGTAGAGCATCTTCCTTGTGTGCAGAAGGTCCCAAGTTCAATCCCTGACATTTCCAGGTAAGGCTGGAAATTACCCCATCTGAAATCTTGGAGGGCCATTGCCATTTAGTGTGGACAATACTGAGCTAGATGTTCCAGTAGTCTGACTTAGTATAAAGTTATTGCCTATGTAATATTCCTGTTATTGAAAAAAAAGTTTATTAAGCCAGAATTGCAATGTATATAAAGCATAAAGGCTCCAACTTTTTCAGTTTCATCTGAAAGAATGCAGTAGGCTTTGAGTAAAGGTCTTTTTGGTCAATTGTGTTGCTGTCTTTCCTGTTTCTTCACTTCCCTCTTTCCAGTTTCAGATAGATAAATGCAGTATACAATGCATGCAAAAATGAGAGGCCCCTCCCCCATGTCTTTCAAAGGGTTTTGTGGAGTACATATATTATTCTTATTATTCTTATTCTTATTATTTTTTGAATAAATAAATATTCCCAGGGGTCTTAGGGTAGTTCACAGAATAAAACCAAGATATAAAACCAGAAAATACCTAATAAAAATAAAAACAACAACCCAATAACCACCACCCCCACATTCTAAAAGGGTGTTGGATGTCAGTAAGATCAACCAAAGGCCTGGTTAAAAATGAACATTTTTGCCTGGCGCCTAAAGGTGTATACAGTGGTACCTTGGTTCTCAAACTTGATCCATTCTGGAAGTCCATTCCAAATCCAAAGTGTTCCAAAACCAAAGTGTTCCAAAACCAAGGCACGCTTTCCCATAGAAAATAATGCAAAATGGATTAATCCATTCCAGACTTTTAAAAACAACCCCTAAAACTGCAATTTAACATGAATTTTACTATCTAACAAGACTATTGATCCATAAAATGAAAGCAATAAACAATGTACTGCAGTCCCACAATCAATCAATCAGTAGCTGAACTGGGTTCCACACAGTCACAAAAACAAAACGAAAAGAGCCGCAAAAATCAAAACGCAAAATAAATAGCAAAAACAGACAGACCTCAGCGTAACACTCAAAACGGAAGTGTGGCACTCAAATTGGAAGCATAACACTCAAAATGGAGCATGTTCAGCTTCCGAAAAAAGTTCGCAAACCGGAACCCTTACTTCTGGGTTTGCAGCGTTCTGGTTCCAAGTTGTTCAAGTACCAAGACGTTTGAGAACCAAGGTGCCACTGTAATGAAGGCGCCAGGCAAACTTCCCTGGGAAGAGCATTCCACAGACGGGGAGCCACTATAGAGAAGGCCCGTTCTCGTGTTGTCACTCTCCAGGCCTCTCAAGGAGGGAGCACATGAAGGAGGCCCTCAGAAGATGATCTCAGGGTCCAGGTAGGTTCATGTGGAAAGAGGTGGTCCTTGAGGTATTGTGGAATAGCCATACTCAGTGTACAGTTTCTGATCACCTCACCTCAAAAGGAGATTCCAGAGCTGGAAGGGTTCAATAAAGGGCAAGCAAAATGACCAAGGGGATGAAGCAACTCCCCTAGGAGGAAAATCTGAAGCAGCTGGAACTTTTCTGTGGACTAAAAAGGGTAGAAGGGTATAAAATTATGTATGTTGTGGACAAAATAAATAAAAAAGAAGTTGTCCTCACTAGAACCAAGGTCGTGCAATGAAGCTGAACAGTGGAAGTTTCATGGCAGACAAAATGAAGTGCTTCCGCACACAGAGCCAAGTTAAATTATGACTTCGCTCATACAAGTTGTAGGGATAGCCACCAACTGACAAGTTCATATAGCATATGCCTTTCAATGGCTACTATCCAGGGTGGCGACATTCTTCCTCCATCATTGGAGACCGTATGCTTCTGAGTGCCAGTTGCTGGGAATTGCAAGTGGAGAGAGAGAGATGATGCACTCATGTCTTGCTTGCAAGCCTTCAACAGGCACATGGTTGACCACTGGTGGATTAAATGGGCCTTTGGCCTGATCCGGCAGAAGTCTTAAGTTCTTAAACTACACTGCCTCCCAAGAGACGAACCCAATTCAAAAGGTGAGGTGGTGGTAGCTAATTTGTAAGATTTGCATCCAGACACTCCTTCAAGTGACTATGATTTTAATCCTGTACATTGCATTGGGAAGCCACTTTGTTTGGGAGACTTGTTGATCATTAAATAAACAAATTCAGCCTACTTTCTTGCCCTGCAGCCTACAGTAGACATAGAGCCCTCACAGGGCATCCTGGGTTGCACAACATCACGGGTACGGCAGTCTCCATGACCACCATGACCCAAGTTTATGTTACAAATAAAACCAGTAAGAGGAAGGAACATTTTAATTGGAAGATTTAAACCTCAGGTGGGAGTACCAAATTTTTAGGAGCCCTGGCAAGCAGGCACCTGGGATGCTCCCAGGCCTGTTGATACCCATTCATGAAGAGGTGGATGTGCACATTCATATAAATTAAAGCAATCCCAGTAGCTAAGTTGCAGCATTTATGCTTCCAGTGAGATTGCTCCAATTCTTTATGGCATCGCTAGGGTAATGCAAGATATAAAATTCTCAATAGATGCTTTCCAAGTTTGTATTTAATAGACCTGGAGGCTCTGAGTGCCTGTGCACAGATTGTGTTCCAGCTGTCTACCGCTATTTGAATGCGCAGGTCTGAGTCCCATGCTGTGCGATGCAGGCAGTCTCCCACGCATTCCGTGTACCAGGAGTAATTTATGGGTCTATCTATAAAGGAAATAATGGCACGTTAAAAAGGAGGTTATGTAAAGCTCCGAGATTGAGAAGCAGCTCCGTCAATTGAGTACAACTTCCAAAACATCGCCATTATGTCTCAACTGATTTACAAATGGAAAAAGAGCTTTGCGTGGTGTTTCATATTTCTAAAGCGAGGAAAGGGAGGGGAAGGGGGACTCATCCAGCCCACCCTCAAGAACTGCCATCCCAATTAACCTTTTCCTATAACACAACTGGGCTGCCCACCTGTTGATTATTTTTTAAACTGATTACTCATTTGTCTTGTACTCAGCTTGATTTAAGTATATCTGCATGTTACAAAAACCTCAGTTGAAGGTGCCTTTCTAAAGATCTCAAAAGAAATGTGAGATAGCAAGCATTTAACAAAGAAAAGCCATTGATTTTTCCAGTGGCTTTTATATTTATTAAATTGTAGCTGGAAGCAGGGGGGAAGGAGCAGGCAACTTCGATTAAGGTTTTTGTACCAAAGGATGTTGACTGTTTTGTTTGCATTTCTTATAGTGGTAACACATCGCAGTCATGCTGGCTGCTGCTGCTGCTGCTGCTGCTGCTGCTGCTGCTTCTTCTTCTTCTTCTTCTTCTTCAAGGAAAAAATCATTTCATACCCTTCAATCATAAACAAACCAATTTGTATTTGTCCCCATGATTAATCTTTTAAAGATTTCTTAGAAGACAGCCAGTGTGAAGTAGTGATGTACAAGATGGTGAGGAGGCTCAAAGCTCAGCCACGACTGAGTGTGGTGTATTGCAGTGGTGGTAAACCTCAGGCATGGGGTGGGCAGGGACTAATGCAACTCTCCAGGGTTCTCGTATCAGGCCCTCTAAACTCCTCAGGCCGCACCCCTCACAGGTCCTGCTGTCAGGGGCAGAGGAAGGGGGTGCGGGCCACCCTGGGTGTCACCACTGAGGGAGATGACAAAATGCCAGGCGGCACTCACTGTGGGGCCTGCAGTGTACCCAAGCCATGTGTCTCTCCTGGGAGAGACACGGTGGCTTGCGCATGCGCAGGCTCCACACTGCTCAACCGGTCCGTTCTCTGCCTCCCCCCAACTGTAGGGCAGCTTCCTCCGCCACTGCCTGCTGCGCACTCTGAACAATATTTGCCAGGCCGGAATGCTGGTGATGCCTATTGTCTATCTGGGTGGAGAAGAAAGAGGGGAGTATGAATCTGTATAGAAAGTAGCCTACAGCACAAAGGTAACATTTTCATTTTTAGCTTGGTCCAATTTTGCCTCTGGCCACAGTCACCTCTGGCACATGCAGCCTGGAAGGGTATCCAGAAGGGGATGCAGCTCTCTCCCTTGAAAAGGGTTTGTCATCCTGGTGTAGTACTAGAATGGGCTTCTTATCGTGTTTGCTTCAACCTTAATACAGTCATACCTCGGGTTACAGACTCTTCAGGTTGTGCATTTTTGGGTTGCGCACCACACCAAACCTGGAAGTATCAGAATGAGTTACTTCCGGGTTTTGGCGCTCGCGCATGCGCAAAAACACTAAATTGCGCTTTGCACATGCGCAGAAGTGCCGAATTGTGACCCACACATGAGCAGATGCGGCACTGCGGGTTGCGGACGTGCCTCCCACACGGATCACGTTCGCAACCCGAGCGTCCACTGTACAACATCTCATACAATCAGGGAGCCTATTTATTAGGGTCCCCATCTGCAAAACCAAGAAGAAAAAGTGTTCTATCTATGTTCAACTGAACATGAGTAGAAATCCCCTGAAGCCCTTTTCTGCACAGCATAGGGATGATCAGGAATTGAGCACATAGGGATACTAGGGGTGCATAGGGACATTAGGTGCACAGCTCTGTCTGTCATCTGTGGATGCAAAGTTCACATGTTCAGGCAAATGCCTGAACTGGCCCATTATTAGACCAGGCCAGTATAATCCAGGTTCAAATTCACTTCCCACCTGGACCAGCATCATGGACGTCTGCTGACACACACACCTCTGCAAGCATCTCATCTCACTTCTGCACCCACCCTGCGCTGAGAACCCTGGCCTCTGTTGTGTCCACTTGTCCACTTTTCTTCTCCAAGTATACCAGCTGTGTCATGTGCAAGAGGAAGACAAGCAGCAGAGGCAAGGATGCCCTTCCAGAAACTACAGGACTATGCCTGAAATCAATGAACTGTAGCTGAGGGCTCGTCCACAGTACTGCTTGTCCCATGCTTTCTAGGCACATGCCTGAGCAGTTTTTCATTTGTCCCACTACTTTCCCCAGGAAAACTCACAGTGAATCCTAAATAAAATATAAAGCAAAAAACCAAAAATGAGCAGGACAAAATAAAAATATTATTGCATTGCCTGAGCTGTGAGCTGCCTTAGAAAC